AAGATTATCAGCATTTATAAAAGTTCATGTTTGGTAAAAAAAATATCGAAATTAATTTATATCTTCTAAACGGTAATAGATAGGTATAGGGAAATAGTTTATGAATTTGTTGACAAACTGATAATGAATCATAATATGATATTATATACGGGGTGTTCCATGTTCCAACGCCGCTTCGTCTAAAATATTTTAGGCGTGTAGGTCATATTGACTTGTGCATACTGTGGAACTTTCAGGTTGATCCGTTGAATAGTTTGCCAGAAACGGCTAATTAACGCTCATCATGAAAAGCCCTGTATGTTTATATTTATACTGACATGTTCTATGCCCTCGGGGGTACTGTATTTTTATCCGGAACAAATACATTTTATCTATCTTATCTATCTATCTAACCTACCCTCTCGCCCCCGGTTACCCCAGCTTTATATTCTTAAAATATAAAGCCCTGTATAGCTATAGAAATAACATTATTCTATTTCTTTTTTAGTGGATGGGTCTTATTGCCTAACTTGTGGATCCGACAAGAAAATAAAATTATGGAATCCTTACAATGGCTTTCTGCTCAAAACATACGGCGGGCATGGAAATGAAGTGCTAGACGCATGTGGTTCATGTGACAGCAATCAAATCGTTTCTTGCTCGTCGGATAAATCTGTTATTGTATGGGATGTATCTACGGGTCAAGCATTGAGGAGGTTAAGAGGACATGCAGCATCAGTTACTTGTGTTAAATATAACGAAGAATCAACATTAGTCATTTCTGGTAGTTCGGATAACACTGTAATGTGTTGGGATATCAAATCTCGAGCACAAGTTCCGGTCCAAACTTTAAAAGAAGCCAAAGACTGTATCACCTCAATTCAAGTTACTGATCATGAAATACTCACAGGATCTGTAGATTGCTCATTGAGAAGATATGATTTGAGGAATGGAAGATGCGAGATCGATTTTGTTGGAGGTAATTGAAATTATATTTCCTTTTCAACGTTCATTTGTTTCAAGTAATATGAGGTCTCTTACATTTGATGTACATTCGATCAGTGGTTTTTTAAAATTTTGGTACAGAGTGCGCCAAAGTTTTACACTTTTGAAGGGAAATTCCTGTTTTCAAATCAGATAGATGAAAACAGATGGCTGTGCCTGGGGTTCAAATTTTATGACAAACTTAATGGTGAAAACTGTACAGGGTGTCCCTGGACTTCCTCTTTTCCTCTCGGGAATGTATAGATGGGGTCATGATATCACCAGTACTTCATATAACTTTTTTTCCTAAAATCCTTCGTTACCAAGTAACGGGCCCTCGAAGTTACAAAATGAAAAATGTTTTTCTTTGATAACTTTTCAAGTGAATATTCAAAATCATCCAAATTTTGGTAATTGACTAAACAAATGAATTCC